TTTTAGTTTTTATTGTTTAGCCCTTTTTTTCAAATCTAACGGCTAGTGAGAGAGGTGTCCGTTGTGTTATTGCAATGTGGGATTAAAGATGTGGTTAGGGCATAACGGTCACCTGTGCTATCCACGTGGCACAGGGTAGGCTTATTTTTCTAATTGTTTTGATTTTTATTTATTTTTTGAAAATTGATGTCTTGTTTGGGTTTTTAATAGTTTTGTGAAATAAATATTAAAAGTTTTTTTTCAATACAAGACGTGAAAAATGAGTAAACTATCAAATCGGAACCTGAAATATTTTTTTTTTTCTCAATTTGAGACTTAAATGTTGTAAAGCTATCAAATTAAGTCCTAGAACTAACAAAACTCGTAACACCATTAAATTGAGAGTTTATTTGAAGTTTTAAAACAACAAATTTGTTACAAAGTAAAAAAAGAAAAAGAAAAAAAATAAAAAATAAAGAAAATTAGAGAAAGTACGAGATTGTTGGAGAAAATTAAAGAAAGTATGGAGTAAGAAAAAAATGAGGAAAATTAAGAAAAATACGAGATTTTTGGAGAAAATTAAGGAAAATATGAAGCACTTGCTCGATTCTCTTGCTATCGGCTATTTCTGTTTTTTTGTTTTTTTTAAAAATTATGTAAATGTTTACTTATTATTTTATGTGAGCAAACACCAATTTTTTTTTTTAAACCCAATTTAATGGTGTTGTAGGTTTTGATAATTCTAAGAATTAATTTGATAGTTTTATAACATTTAAGTCCCGAATTGAAAAAAAAAAATCTTTTAGACCGGATTTGATAGTTTACATATCTTTTATGTCTTATATCCTTAAAAATTACAATAAATTAATAATAGTAACAAGGCTCTTGGTGACAGGGGCGCTCTTACCCACTTTAAGCCTTTGACTGGTGATAGTTAGGGCTCTGATTAATTTAATTAAGCCAATGAATGTGCACAAAGATGTAACTGCTATACTTGAACAAGACAGATGTGGTAAATGATCTCCACTTTGCCATATATAGTAGCTTTGAATTTTGGCCTAGTTTACTACTTTTATTAGTCTCAATTTTGTTAAATAATCCAATTTTTTATTTTTAAAGAATAAAGAATTTTAAAAAATTAAATTCCTCAAAAAGAAAATGAAAAGGCAAGTTCAAACAAATTTAGGAGTATTATTTTGAGATTTCTAGAGTCTTTTTAAGATTTTAGAAGTTTTGATGCACTTTTTAAAAAAATTTTAAAAGTCATGGTATTTATTTGAGAATTTAAAAAGTCTTACAAAAAGTTATATAATTTATTTAAGACTGAGATTTGTTATGACTTTTTAAGATTTGTTGAAATTTCAATAGAAAAAACTATACACGAAATTTCAATTGAAATTTCACATACATACTTAAGAGTTTATAGGATTTTTACTAAAATTTGAAAAATCTAAAAAAAATCTCCAATCTCAAAAGTTTCAAAATGTCACTCATAATCCTAAACGAACACACTCCCTTAACACCCACAAGAAAAATGCCTTCCTCGTCATTATTATGTTTGCATAATGAGACAATATAAAAAGAAGGAATTTTTTCTCAAGAAATGAATGAATAATCTAGTTATAAGATGCACGATTCACCTAAAAAAATGGACCACAATGATGTGAATCATGATCATATATGATGTGCACATGAATCGTTCCATCGAGATTTTCGGTCGAACCGTCTCTCTTTGATTGTGTAAAAGAAAACCACAAGCGCGATCAAGTCAGTGTAGGCACTCTGGCACTAAAGTCAGTCACTAAATTACTAAAAATATTACATAATATGAAGATATTGGGAGATTGTGTTAGAAAGTGAGCATAATAACTTACTCCCTAAGTAGGATTTGGTAAAAAAACTCATATAAAAGCAACACATCTATTTAATCACAACATTTATATATTAGCAATTAAGTACACAATATTTTATAGTTTTGCAAATCAAAACACAACTTTCACTTCCGGCACTGAAATGTTGACATGGCCCTCATAATACACACGTGGACCTCGCTTATTAAATTAAAAACTGAAAAAGAATAAAATATAATCCACGTCGCTTGTTCATGTAAGAAATTATGAAGTTAAAGAACAACAAAATATACTCAAGAGCGCTTGGATGAGATGGTTTGGGTCTCTTCCAGTTTAACCAGTGGTCTCGTGTTCGAGTCTTGGGAATGCAGCAGTGTTAAAAACTCTTGAGGGAGAACTTTACCGCCCTTGTGGTCCTACCCGACTCGATTCCGGATTAGTCGGTTCCCCTGTGGATCCGAAAATCGAAAGGTCCCTGTANNNAAAAAAAAAAAAAAGAACAACAAAATATACAACTCATTCATTCTTACGAAGAGTAAAAATATGCAACCCACAAAACGATAAAACAACTAGTAATTGATACATACTCGTCTGCCATTACTAACTTCACTATAGGAACCAAAGGAGATGTTTACAAAAATTAAAGAGAAAATTTAGCACCAAGGGTTATGATGTCTTTTACGCAGGTTTATTACTTTCTCCTTTGTCGATTTGTCAAGAAGGAATTTTTAATTTTAGGGTTGTCTATTAATTCACAAGATGTGAAATTTATTTTATCTATTTTTACTTTTTAATATAATAAGCGAGGTCCACATGTGCATTTTGACGGGCCATGTCATCATTTTTGCTGGAGGTGGAAGTCATGTTTTGATTTGCAAAACTACAAAAGATTGTGTACTTACTTGTGAATATATAAAGATTGTGACTAAAATGCAAAAGCCTAAGAGATCGTACTTCTATATGTAGTTATTCCATAGGATTTCCATACAACAAAAGCCTGAGACCTGTCCGGTTCTTAAGATATTTTTCGAGAACCGGAACCGAGACATAATCACTGGTTCGATTAACATATAAAAATTTGGAGGAACCGAAAAAGAATCAAACTGTGTTATAACGATTCGGTTTTTTCGGTTCTTCGGGTAGCAGAATAATGAAAAATAATTGATAATAATCGGTTTTGAGCTAAGAACCGATCAAAAAATTACAACTCACAAGCTTAAACTTTCATGAAAAACCGAGAACAGAAATGCAAAAATGAAGAAACGAATATTACATACCAAGAACGGGAACCGATTCACATATATAAACATATAAAACATGCATATTTCACATATATAGTCGGTTCCTCGGTTAATACACATAAATTTAGACCGGAACCGGGAACCGAACTGGTTTGTGCAACAACAAAAAAAAAGGAACCGAAATCTATGTTTTTTTTAAATAAGCGAACTGAACCAGTCATATTCGGTTCGGTCCGGTTCGCGCGGTTCTCCGATTCTCAGGTATAAAATCTCACCCCTAATACAACGTACTCCTCTAGAATATAGGAATAGACTTACTTTTTTTTCCGAAAAGGAATGTACATACTAAAATAAAATCAACTATTATTTACGTTTATCAAAATAATCTAGAAATCATAACAAAACTCTCAAGCTAATTTAATTGTTTATCGAATTATTCTAGAAATCATAACAAAACTCTCAAGCTAATTTAATTATTCAATACCGATGAACTCCGGCTAAAATATGACCTATTCAGGTTATTTTAGAGGTCATATCAT